CGATGCCGATATCCTAAGACAGGACGTTGCGGTAATATTACGTTGGTCAAAGCTTCCGGCTAGTAATATCACTATTGAAGAGCGTCAAGCACTGAAAAACATTAGGGATAACCAGGATATTTTAGTGCTTAAGGCCGACAAGGGAAACGCTACCGTAGTGATGAATACAACTGATTACAAAAGCAAAATATGTATGTATGGTATGTAATACCCTAAATAAGAGATCGCGTTAATTCCCGTTAAATAATATTAATTATCGTAAGTCGTGTTTGATTGTTCATTTAATAATAAATTTTATTACTTTTCTGCCAACGTAAAAGTAATGTGGTATTATTGTATGATACTTAGCCATTAACTATACAAAATTAGAAAGCAATCCTATTTTTGTGAACAGAGTTACATCAGGTTTTTCGTCGAATCGGTCAATTTATCGTAAGTCATGTCTGATTGTTCATTTAATAATAAAAATTATATCTTTTCTGCCAACGTAAAAGTATTTTGGTATTATTGTATGATACTTAGGCATTAACTATACAAAATTAGAAAGCAATCCTATTTTTGTGAAAAAAGTTAAGACAAATTTACCATCGAAAAACTCGAGTTTTCGCTAATAAACAGCGTTTATTCATTTAATATGATTATGGCCTTTTAAGATTAAAAAAATATATTTAAACAAAATATATTTTTTTAATCTTAAAAGGCCCTGGTTCATTGTATAGTAATTTGATCCAGGAAAATGACTGTTTGCTCTCTTTGTTCATTAAAAAAAAACTCAATTTGAGGGGCGTGCCATATACTACGCAGGCTATGTCCGTCGGCTAGCTTCAGCTTCATCATCCAGATGTACTCTGAATGCGTATGCTGATGATGGTCTATTATTGGTGGAATCTGATACTAGGCCGGGGCTTGAGAAATTAGCCAATAGATGTTTGAACTCAATATTTCATTGGGGTGAACATAATTGCTTAACTTTTGCACCCAACAAAACCTTCCAGCTACTTTTAAAAGGTAACCTCAAACCACCACCGAGCATTAAATTTGACAATGTTACTATAAGTAATAAAACTTCAGTATGTTATTTAGGATTGGTTTTAGAAAGAAACTTTTCATTAAGCGAACATTTTAAATTCTTAATGTTTTCTTTGACTGTATGCCGACCTTTTATCTGAGTCCTCGCCTGCGCGGTAACAGGTACGCGGGGGTATGACGACAAAGGGGACTGAGACAGGTGCGGGCGGCGGGCGAATTTTTGTAATCGCTCATTTCAATCACAACGCGGACAGCGATCGAACGTGTTAATTGTTGCGGACGCCTTGTGAGAGATACACATGTGATAACAATCTCAAGATGAATCGTAAGATCTTCGGTCATAAAGTGAATAGTTAGTGCAAGCAAATGGCTTCAAACGTGTACGAATATTTTAGAAAAAAGAAACTGGACCCAAATTCTGTTGAATATCAACAAGACATACATTTAAACAAAACCGTAGCAGAAGTTACTGGACTATCGGAAAAGACTGTATCTAGAATCGTACATCAAGGGAAATTATTGAAAGACAGCGAAAGATTCAAATCACCGAAAAAATTGTTTTAGGTTCTGTTTTAGGTTCGCAAAAAAAGAGTAGAAATAGACGATTTCACAAAAGGAGTGGTAAGAAGAAAAGTCACTCAGTTTTATACAATTGATAAAAAAATACCTACTCTGAAAACGTTGAACGCTGTACTTAGAGAAGAGAATATATTACACTGCGGAAGGGAATATTTAAGGCTGTTGTTACATGACCTAGGTTTTAAATTTAAGAAATGCGGTTCTAAAAGGAAACTCCTTATTGAACAGCCAAATATAACATCGTGGAGGTGGAAATACCTAAGGACTATCAAAAAATATCGTAGAGAAGGAAGACATATTTTATATCTTGACGAAACATATGTAAATGAGTCTCATAACGTTTCAAAATGCTGGCAATCCAAGGATGTACATGGCGTACTATCTCATATTGGAAAAGGGAACCGTTTGATCATCGTACATTGTGGAGGTCAAACTCGATTTGTAGACGGAGCACTTGTGATATTTAAATCCAAATGTAAAACAGGTGATTATCACGATTCTATGAATTTCGTGAATTTCAGTAAATGGATAAATGAAAAGCTAATGCCCAATATAGCACCAAATTCCGTCATCGTGATGGATAACGCAGCTTACCATTCGGTTCGAGAAGAAAAAAGCCGACTATGGCTTCTACCAAGGCAGTTATGCAAACATGGTTACGACGACACGACGTGGTTTTTGATGATAAGCTGAAAAAGGACGACTTATCAAAATTGATTAAAAAGACAGAAACTGAAGATATTTATAAAATTGACGAGTTATTGAAAAGAAACGGGCATGAAGTGTTGCGTTTGCCTCCTTATCACCCACACCTGAACCTTATTGAGTTGGTTTGGGGTGATATTAAGGGTCAATTAGCACAAAAAAGTGTGGACTCTAATCTAGACCAAAAAAAAACTATGTTAGGGGGATTATTTGCTGAATATTCTGCACAGAAGTGGGAGCATTGTGTTAACCATGTAATTAATATCGAGGACGAGTACTGCAAACATGATGGAATTCGGGATGATGCTGTTGATTTTATTATTAACACTCTGGGCGACTCTGATGAATCCGATGATGACTCCTTCAAAAGTGAAGAATCAAGTTCCACCGACATTGATATAGACATAACTGATTGAAATATAATTTTGATGATTATTCTATATAATAAATAGTACAATAGTTTATTACCAAATATTTTATTTACGTACCTTTATAGCTTTTAGTTAGTTAATTAAAATTTTGTATTATCATTAATAATTTTTCATTTAATAAATCACAATTTCTTCACTATGACGTCACATATCTTAGGAACTATCTTGGCGCATTTCATCTCGTGTGTATCTCAGTAAGCGCCTCCGCCGCCCGCACCTATCTCAGTCCCCTTTGTCGTCATACCCCTGCGCCCCTGTTACCGTGCAGGCGAGGACTCAGATAAACGGTCGGCCTATAGTTTAACATGTTTGATAAATGAAATGAATTTGTGATCGCAATAAAATTACAAGATAGCTTCAACAGCAGTCCGATGTCTATAATGACCTTATATACGAAATGTCAACAACTCTCGGACGAATCGTCTAAGGGTGTAACAGTTATTTTTTTATCATATTTGTATTGCGTACGGAGTTGTATACAGCGACATCTATTGCCCCGCGTCGCATTTACTTGATTTATCCAAAGTAGTTTATAACTATAGTATTGATGTTCTTCGTTCGCCATCGGACCACTAGATGGCGTTGTTTTATAGGTAAGTCATCCTGTCAAATTTATCCTGTCAAATTGTATTGGTGTTAAAAGTGTCGTGTTATGGTAGGAAGCGAGTTACTTTTGATTTGTTCGTGTTAACCTCGTTGATAGTTTGAGTGACAGTTTGAAATGTCTAAAGTAGGGATTCTTTCTAGAAACTTCACAAACCGAACATATATAAGTCCGGCTTTCAGCCACAGGGGACACTCTGCTAATTCTTGTCTTTCAATCTTAAATAGTATTTTGTTTGTCTGGTGATTTCATCTTAGTAATATTTTATCTGTTCGAAGTACTCACGCCAGTGGTGAGTATATTCATAATTTTCTTGTACTTATTTGTTTCTGGAACCTGATCGAAATATGAGTGCTTATCCATTCGTAGGGCTCCAGATTTCGGGTCAAGACATTCGATCTCAGACGGCGTGCTTTTTCGTTTGTGGCCTTCTGGTGCGAAATCAAGTTTCTCAGTACCCTCTGGCAAACTGGCAGTCACGCGGCTCACAAAGCAAGCGGACAGCCGTACTCAAGGGTTACGTACTTCTCGTTAACGTCATTAATATCAATATTGAACCTTCCTTAATACCTAATCTAAATAGCCGACTCGGACGGAAGGGGAAGTGACCTCCTGGATTGAAGACAAGGAGGCTCCGAGCAGCATCAGCTCGGCTTTGACGCGCGCCGCTGCGGTTTTTTTATATACCCACTAATTATTATTATTTTTTTATTATTGTAACTTTAATTTTTTTTGAAATATACATGTATGTATGACTGAGGTGTAAGTTGTTTTCCTCTAAGGAGTCCCGTAGGTTTCCCACACGCACACACTTCTGTTCTCTTACAAGGCGCCCTGAGGTAATCTCGTGAATCTCTCCACTGGGTTGGCCGGTGAGTAGTCCGCCTGACAAAAAAAGCGGCTACAAGGGGCGCCACCTTTACCAGTTCTTTGTATCTGTTCGCAAACGGTTGTCTAGGACATGGCTTGAGGTAGATCACTGTGTTGCTCAATTTCTTACAGGTAACTTTAAGATCGATCAATGCTCAACACCTGATTCTAACTGTGAACAGTCTGCTCATCATATCCTCTGGGAATGTAGTCTTTGACGTAATGAACGCAACATAATGCTGAATAGCTTACAGGTAACTTCTGGGGCGGTAAACTATGGGGCTGTTTTGTCCTCTAGGGTGAATTACCGTGCGTTAAGGCGATTCTGCCATACATATTATAGAAATCAAATATAGATCACTTAGTACCCATAATACTTTGTGGCCGTGGTGCTTCCCTGTTTAAAAGGTTGTATGCCTATTTTACTTTATTTTGTCTCCCGCTCACTAAGGAGGGAAGTGGATTTATTATTTTGCAACTCCTCCAATTTTCTTCTCATCAATTTTTTTGCGGGTTCAAAGACATTTTAATTTTTTCCTGGGACTTCCCGAGTGTCATAACTCCGTGTGTTCGTGGGTCTCTGCTGTTGATCCTGGTGTACTGGAGTTACATTGTTGGGCGATTAGTCCCATTTAAACAAAAATACAACTTTATAAGTCTATTTGCAGTTGGAAACTACAGATGGCAGGCCTATACTGGCTTGCTACATATGTAGTGCAAGGCTCAAGAACTGCTACGAGTTGAAGAAGAGCTGTCTCCAGAGTGAGGAGCTGTTCACACAAATGCTGAGGTATAACAAGGTTGGTTATAGTTTCATAACATGGAATAGGGTTTGAATGACATGATTACTATTTTATTAAAACTATTTTCAATACAACAAATGGCTTAATTAATTTGTTAAAGGTTTGTGGTCAATAGCGATATGTTAGTGCGTGCATGTAATTTCATAGCTAACACTGCTACCTCTAGAAAATGATCTGGTTTTGAATAGTTCAAACAAATAAAACAGAAGCTACTACTCTATATGATTGAGTTGCAACTTCTGTATTTTAGTAACAAGTAAAAGGGAAATAATATAAAATATACTAGCTGACCATTTTCTGTACTTGAAGTAACGGTACTTATTATAAACCTTAGTGATTTTACAGTACCAAAAATCCAAAAATGTTATTAACCTACATTGTTTGTGTTAAATAACTTGTAAAAAAAAGCTGATGCCCATGATCGTTTGCATGGAATTTGAAAAGTGCTGCCTTAGTGGTGTAGTACGGGACGTTCCCGGACCGCTTTAAAGGTCATTTAAACTGGCTTTTAGAACATAGATATCATGCAAACAACTGTGTGAGCATGAAAAAACCTATTTTTTTTACATTACAAATAGACACATAGACAAGTGTTAATATTTTTGTCTTATTTAATATAATTTTATATGGCAATAATTTTACAGAAATTTTAATTAAGTAATGTGAACAACAGAATAATCATAGTCTCTCAGAAATGATGATCTTAAACTAAATACAATACCATGCCTTACGAACTACACTGTCTGTAGTCACAAACAGGCCACACCCAGTGCAACTAGGCTGAATTGTCAGTCGATTCAAAGGTATGTTACCTTTTGTGTTGTATCTGTGTTAGTTATATGTAAATAATTTAACTTGCCAACAGCTTGAAGCAGTGAAACTGAAAAAAATAAACGATAAGAAGAGACTCACCATACACAATGTCCTGCACTTGAGCGTGGGACATGTACTGGATATAAATACGGTTGATGTTGGTGTGGAGGCTCTGACGATTGATGTGAAATTCGAACAAACTGATCCTGAAGGTAATATTTTATATTTAAGTAAAATTTCTGGGTAATTCTTTCTCTACATTACAAACTCACTCAAATGGGACTCAATGTTGTTTACAGATATCAATGAGGACGCTCTGAAAGAATACAATGACTCTGACAATGTACAATCTGCAGACTCAGACGATGATCCTCTGATGATTGTGAAGAAAGAACAGTCAAGTAAGTATACTCTGTATCTTTCCTATAAATACACAACTCTCTCACTAAGAGCGGTTTCTGTGCCGCCAGGTACTTTATAAACATTTACACGGACACGAAACACCGAAAGCAAATTGTGGGCGATTTGTCGGATGATTTGTTTATGGTTCCAAATTCAAATTTTTGTTGTTGTTGTTATTTATATTAAATACAGTGTTGTTTTTAGTTATATCATATCTAGTGTGTATTGCGAATTTTAAAAATGGACATAACATCTACAAAGAGTTTGTCTTAAATTTTGCATCGCTAATGGAATTTCGTGTTCGGTGTCATTGAAAATGTTACAGAAGGCTTACGGTGAAACGACTTTATCAAAAACAGGTGCTTATGCCACTCATCAGTGAATACAAAGCGTTCAAAAGCGGTCGAGATGTGATGGAAGATTTGCCTCGCTCTGGTAGGCCATCAACGTCTGCAACTGACCGACCTAACATTCATGAAACGCATTGTTACTGGTGACGAGACGTGGGTACGTTACGAGTTTGACATGCAAACTAGTCAACAAGCTTCGGAGTGGCGCTTTCCAACTGAACCGAAACCGAAAAACCACGCCAAAGTCGATCAAAAGTCAAAGTCATGTTGACTGTATTCTTTAACTATCGCGGTGTTGTGCACTCTGAATTCTTGCCGGAAGGTCAAACGGTAAATAAATAATACTATTTGAGCGTTATGCGGCATTTATGGGAGCAAATTCGATGAAAAAGGCCAGATTTGTGGAAAGAAAATTCTTGGATTTTGCACCACGATAATGCGCCTTCGCACAAGGCCATCATTGTGAACGAATTTTTGACCAAATACTCAACGAATACCATCGAGCAACCACCATATTCACCAGACATGGCTCCAGCCGACTTCTTCCTTTTTCCTAAACTTAAATTACCACTTCGTGGCACCGTTTTCAATCGGTAGAAGACCTAAAGGAGAATTCGCGGCGAGAACTGAACTCAATTCCGGAAACAGCGTTTAAACAATGTTTTGATGATTGGATTATTAGTTGGCGTACTTGTATCGTTTCTGAAGGAGCATACTTTGAAGGTGATAAAATAAATTTGAATGAATAACAAACATTTTGTGTATTATTGATCTTTTCCCGGTACTTTCTTGACAGAGTAGTACCTAAATTTACAAGAGTTATTAACTTCATCAACTAGTGGAAGATATCTACGAATAAAGTGATTATAAGTACGAGAAAAACTTCAACAGGGATGCAGCACATAATTACAACGTCAAATAAGTTAATTTTAAAATAAGTAAAAGTTGAGCATACCGAGGAAACGCTGAAGTTTCTTGATGGTCTTCGGTGACGCTGCATTTACCAATAGAGTACGCCGGGCACGCCACTTCTGAACAGTTTCATGTCGCTTTTTAATTTGCAATGTGCGGCTGTAAACCCACCTATGCCATCTCCATCACCGTTGCAGACATCTTCTACGATGAGACGTTCACCGGGTGCTTATTCTGCCTCCATCATCACCAAATGTGGTGGGGCGCAATTCACCAAGAAGGAGAATCGAACTTTACGAACCAAGTAGGTACGATGACATGACCATGTATGGAACAGGAGGATGCAGAGGATCCTCTACCTACAGTAGGAGAATAGCAAGCTCATCTCAGGAATTCGCCACGAGTTACTGGAGAGGGAGAAGATAACTCTGAGGGTGAGCCAAAAGAATTGGAAACAGTACCTGAGGCACTGAGTGAAACTCCGATACAGAGTTCTACAGCACCAACTAGGTCATTACGGAAACGTCCAGAGGTTTGATACAGAAAGGAAAGCCCTAGTACCCCGACATAACTCAGGCCATCTACGGCTTCTAGATGACCCCTCCTGTGTGGGAACCCGGATGTTCCCTTCCTGCACAGAAGGGCGCGCGCGCTCCGTAGCACGTCGCGCCGTTACCAACCCCGGTCTGCTTCTGCTAGAGTGACAGATGGCCTCACGTGTCACCCTCAGGCCTGCGCCTATGAAGGACGCAGGTCGCTCTGCGACTTCCGGCACTCGAGCCGTCTGCGGTACCTGGCCCGGTCTCGGGCCTGGCGAGCCGGGAGGGTTCTGAACCTCTCCCGGTCTCGCTCCGCCATCTCCTTCGCAAGCATAACCTGCTCGCAGAAGGAGACGGCGGAGTTCCACGCACTCTCGCTCCGCACCATGGCCGCAATCATGTTACCAAGCGAGAGATCTCCCACCCCTATGGCCGCCGCGATCACGCCTCTGCTCCACCCACGCCGGGCATTCTGCTAGAGTGTGGAGCGCCGTGTCTACGGTCCGGCCATCGCAGTGGTGGCACCCAGGCGTTGGCTCCCTGCGGATCAGACACAGGTGATCACCGAAGCATCCTTTCCCAGTGATCACCTGCGTCAACCGGTATGAGAGGGTCCCGTGATGCCTCTCGAGCCAATCCTCCATAACGGGTGCTTTAGATAATACCTCCGTGTTTTGTTGATATGATTTACCTATTACAAGTATTAACCAGTGTTTAGTTTTCAAGTTTTTAGGCCAATGGTAGAACGCTGGCTAATTAAAAAAATTGAACATAGTAGTAGACATTTTGCATTCCCTCCATCTTCAGACTTTTTGAAATAATGCCCTAAGTTTTTTTAATTTTTCTCACTAACATCCTTCTGTACCGGTTTTGAAAGAAACATATTGCCTGTAAAGGAATAATTTCTGACTTTGTAAACAACTAGTGGCTAGTACAAACAGTTAGCAATTGAAATTTAAAAAAATCTTATTCAAATCAGTTCAGGAATATCTATCAAATTTAAAATAGCAGTCCTGCGTATAATAAAGACAATACATACACACAATATTGGACAAAGACGGTATCTTTCTTGGGGTTATAATAATAGTTAATTCGACGACAAGTAAACAAACAATATACTAAACTTGCGGATCGTCTAAATTTTACGTGGTTTTGTTTTTGTCACTAAAACAAAACCACGTTGACGAGTAACGCATGACATGTCGCGTCGTAGTGCGTGTCACAAACTACGTGCGAGTGTGCGTGCAATTCAGACGTAAAACAAAAGATTGAACGGCAACGTCGCTCGTAAAACGCGTTGCTGAGTAGATTAAAGGCGGCAATTTGGATAAATTTGCACCGGCTGATGCAAGGCCTAAAATTATGCAGGATCCCGCTGGATCGTGCGATCCCACTTGCTGGATTGCAATCCCTATTTTTAGCAAAATGCGTTTGTTTTTTGAGCCCCTGCTCTCCCAGAAAGGGAGAGGTTTCCCTTCAGTGAGCCAAGCACAGCAAGTGCAAAAATTGCTAAACACCAATTTTAGCAACAGCCTCAGAGAAAATCCAGCTCAACCGGAGTGATACTTCACTCCGGTTCAGCCGATCCATACATGGCGCAGCATGGCTCTTCCACGGCATCAGCAAATAAAGAGTAGGCGTACAAACCGAATTGCACTTGTTCATAGATATCGACGAGGAGGCTCTAGAAGGGAACAGCGTCTCTGACATCATACAATCTGCAGACTCAGACGATGATCCTCTAATGATTGTGAAGAAAGAACAGTCAAGTAAGTATACTCTGTATTTCTCCTATAAATAAACAACTCTCTCACTAAGAGCGGACACGAAACACCCAGACTTGAGACAACTATTTGTGGGCCCTAGCACCGAGTTAATGCTTATACGGGTTTTCTCTGTTATCGATTATGGTGATGCGTGCTCTCCCGACCTAATCGTCCTACTCGTCTCAATAATTGCATTCCAGACTGTTCTTCGTTTACATTAGTAAACGAAGAACACGCTCGCACTAGGTGTATATCCCGTATATCTCTCAAGGGACGTTATAAACATTCATGAAACAGACACAAAGAACACCCAGGCCCAGAACAACAATTTATGGTTCACACCACTGCTTAATTTATACCAAAAATAACTACTGTTTAAACAAAGTTGACCGGACTTCCAACACCACGGCCAACGGGTACCAAATAAAAAGTGAAAAATAAACCTAAGTGAACCTAAACAAGACTAACTAAATGTGATACTCAATGCAATAGCTATCATTATAAATGCTATAGATACCTTCCGGCCTGTTGGCCTTCTTCTATTTAGAACTCGGTAATAAGTTTATGTACAATATATATTTGTCTTTTCGTTTTTTATTTTGTACTTATATTTTGTAGTTACTACAGAGTTTACAAGCTTGGAAATAATCTAAACACTATTTTATCTTTTATTCAGGTGATCTATCCTTGAAGAGATTTAAAAAAGCCTTACAGAGGAATCCCGAAGATTTAACCTCTAGAAACTTGAAAACCCATGAACTCATACGTGACACATTACAAGAAGTTAATAAATCCACTGCTGTAGACAAAATGGCAGCAAAAAGCACAAATGCAGTGACATTAACTCTCAAAGATGACAATAAACAGAGACCTACAAGTGTACCGCCCAGCGAACGTGTACAATATACGTGCGACACGTGTCAGCAATGTTACAGTTCTAAGTGTGAGTTAGAGAGTCACATTTGTGTGTGTTCTGGTGTGTGGAAGATAGATCTCTCACGTGACAGCGGTACAAGTACTCACACACGCACTGCTCAGAAATCACATCAGTGTACTATGTGTAAAAAAAAATTCTCATCAAAGGGTTATTTAAATTATCATATGCGTAGACAACACACGGGCGAGAAACCATATTGTGATATATGTAAACGCAAATTCTTATCACAGAGTTTGTTTACTACACATATGCGTAAACACACTGGTGAGAAACCATATCAGTGTGGCAAATGTATTAGACGATTTTCATATCGGGGTAATTTAATATCACATATGCGTACACACACTGGTGAGAAACCATATCAATGTGATATATGTAAGAAACAATTCGCACTGAAGGGTACTTTGGTTACACATTTACGTGCACACACCGGTGACAAACCCTATCACTGTGATATATGTAATAACAAATATTTACAGAAGAGTAATTTAACTTCACATATGCGTAAACACACTGGTGAGAAGCCGTATCGATGTGACACATGTAATAAACGATTCGCACATAAGGGAGATTTAAATAAACACATGTTTACACACACCGGTGAGAAACCGTTTCATTGTGATTTGTGCAAAAAAAAATTCATATCAAAGTCTTATTTGAACACACATATGCGGAGTCACGGGGAGAAACAATATCAATGTGACAAATGTGATAAGCAATTCCTAAATAACAGTGAATTAACTTTACATTTCCGTTCACACACTGGTGAGAAGCCATATCAATGTGACATCTGTAAAAATAAATACATGGGAAAGAATGGTTTAATTTCACATATGCGTACACACACGGGTCAGAAACCATATCATTGTAATATATGTGAGAAACAATTCTCACGACCGGATGTTTGCAGGAGCCATATGCGTATACACACCGGTGAGAAACCGTTTCATTGTAGCATATGTAAAAAACAATTCTCTGTAAAGCAGAAAGTAATTCAGCACATGCGTATACACACCGGTGAGAAACCATTTCAATGTGATGTGTGTAAGAATTTTTTCTCATATAAGGGTAATTTAGTGAAACACATGCGGACACACACACGCAAGAAACATGTTTGAGGACGAAATTCGTTTTATTTCTTCAAAATATAAGAAACACAATGATTTATTGTAATAAGATGTACTAATTTTATTTGTAAGCATTACAGTTCCCGACCCGTTTATGGAACTATAAAGCAAACAATTTCTTTCACTCTTATTAACACACACCTTCCAGTTTTATTCCTTTTGTTCCTAATAACTCGTATGATTATCCGTATACATACGTACGGTAGTGACATTTCGTATTCTTAATCCATCACGGATTAAGAATACGGAATGTCCCTACCCCAATTCATCCCGTGGGTGTCGTTAGAGCTGACTAAGGGCACAAAACAACGCAGGACACCAGTGCTGCAAAAAGAAGGAAAACTTTACACAAACCCTATACCAGCCCATCTGGCCAGCGTGGTATAGTAGGCCAAAACCTCCTTTCTCAGGAGAGGCCTATGTCCAGCAATGGACTATGGAAGGCTGTTGATGTGATACATAAAAAAATCATTAAGTGAGTAAGGCAGTTGTGGGAGAATTGTGGAGGTTAATTTTATATCAGTAAATACTCTTTTACCGGTTTTTTTCATTTACTTAGGATTTCTCATAAAAAGCCATACTTAGTGAAATTACTTTTATATGAGACTATCTGTATTCTGCCACGATCCGCTGTGACACATTGTGGTTGCATTAATGAGAACTATTGATAAAAACCATCCAGAATTTTTAAGGGAGTGCAAAGGGAGCGTCACGGCTAGAGCCCCAAGAGGAGCGATGAGCTTTAAAGTCAGACTGACCAAGCGGGCAGACGTCGTTGACGGTCGTCTCGAAATATAGTAACATTTTGATGCGTTGTATTTATTTATTAATCTAACTTAAAGCACTTTTGTACATCGGCGGACTTAATGCCCAGAGCTTCCTCTTCCAGTCAACCTTTAGGTGGTGTGGAAATCTTGCAAGGTATGTGCACAGAGGTTACGTCTTAATATATTAAGTAATGAATGACATATATGTAACGGTTCGCTACATACACAAACTCATATACAGCACAACACATCATAAGTACACACATATGCAATCATATACATACATATATATATATTTAATTATATTTAAATAGATACATAGACATATTATATTCGCACTCTATGAAGACCGGAATATGAGGTATACTATCGATTAGATAGTTCTGCCATTTCGTTAAGAAGGAGATCATGTACCTTCTTTTTGAAAATAAAGTTGTTTGTGGACATCCTGACTTCGAGCGGGAGCGCATTCCAGAATAGTACTGCTTGAAAAAAGAACGAAGAGCTCACGAAGTCGGAGTTATGTAAGGGACATAAGAGAAGCAGATTATTAACTGAGCGAAGATTGCTGTCGTGGTTAGTGGACAAACAACGGAAGTAGGGAGTAAGGTAAGTAGGTGAGGAAGGTGAGTTGAGAAATGAAAATAGAGAGGTAAGTGCACGCTGTTTTCGGCGCAAGCGAATAGGTAACCAGTTTAGTTAAGAACGCAAAGCAAACACATGGTCATGCTTCCGAAGATTGAAAATGTATCGAATGCAGTTATTGAGAAGACGGTCTAGCTTATTAAGAAGATCTGCATTCAGGTCGAAATAACACACATCACCATAGTCAATTATTGGGATTATTAAGGACTGCATGAGTGTGGTTTTAGTCTTAAAAGCTTCGATCAACAATAGCAACTAGATAAAGGGTCACGTACAAAGTCAAAGCTAAATGCTGTCAGCGTGAGTATATACTTATGCAGCTACATTTGTTTACCAACAAACGGATGGAAAAGTTTTAAAATAGTTTTAAGTTCAACCTAATTACAACTATGGTACACAGTAATAAAGTCACAAATCTTCAAAATATTATCTAATACTTACGATCATTCCTTGCAAAAAACGAGCAAAGCAATAAATTACTCCTATCACTTTCAAATGAAAAGACATAACTTAAATAACATTTAGTGTAAAATCAATCTTATGGTGCAACAAATAAAGTACTTTTTCTCGTTATTGCCTTGAGAGCTACATCGTTTTGTTTTGTTTTATTTTTGCTTCTTCTAGTTTTACTACAGGAGGTATGGAGTCGCGTTGAACACTAAAATAATTTATAATATGAACGTAAAATATTAGTTGCTTACTTTTTATGTTTCGGACATCTATGTATGTTTGTTAGTATCTTTACATTACTTATTATTTTATTAACGTTACGTTTTTGTGTAATATGTATGTGTATTTACTTTATCACATATAATGTGGTATTTGCAAAAGCTATTTAGACGGATACAGTATTAATCGTTATCAAAATAAATACGTTAGTTATCTTAAGCAATTCATACACATTATAATAGCCCCTTACACCATACAATTTAAATGAATATGTTAGGAGATATCTTAAATTAAAAACTGAATAAATTCGCGAATAAAACTCATCCAAACCAACAACCTAATGCAAAATGTAGGCATTTAATGCTTTAAGCGACCCGCCCTGACACCAAAAACAGGACCCACACAGATATACTAAATAAAATATCTCTAAATTCATCACCAAATTAACCAACCAATTTTGAAGTTCTGTTAAGAATTTTTATTTTGTAACATTAATTGATAATGACAATAAGTAGTCTTTAATTTAGGACAAGAACGACAATATTTTTTGGTGTGCGTTACCCCAGCAAAATAATGTTAAAATGGTCATTTAAACGTTATAGATAATTAGTTGCTCCCCTTCTGTAATTGTTAAGCACATTTTTAAATTTGTTTCACTTAAACTTTTTTAGTTATTTCAAAAAAACATTTCCTGCTGGGGTAACGTTTGAAACGTTACCGCAGCCAGACATTTTCTTTTTTAATTGTAATATTGAAATAAATTTTAGCTAAATAATTAGTTATCTGGACTAGGTAAATGTTACAACTTATTTGGTATTTGTATTTTCTTCGGCTGCGAAGTTATTCGAAATCCTGCTGGAGTAACGTTTGTGGGTTTGCTGGATCTCTGAAACGGGTAAGCGGATTGTAACCATCTTTTGTACATAACTTCTTAAGGATTAGTTTTAATTTGTTCGACAATAAAATAACAAAAATAATGGACCGTTTAAAAATTATTTAGGTAAGTATGAAAACACTTCAATACGTCCTAACACTTTAAATAAGACCTCTAAAGACTTACTTGAAACGTTATTCTATTGCTTGTAACTACCTTCAAATGTATACGAATTTTCGTAAGAATACTGTAAGTGACTAAAAAGTTATGATGAAATGTAGCTCTCCACGTTCACGATCACAATGTGTGCGGCCTTTTTTGGCCACCGATAAACCTGTGTGTGGATATATAAACTGAATGTTATGCCAATAATTAGTTGTTTAGTTCAGTTGTCTACCTGTAGAATTTCAGCGTCGTACATATAATAATTTACGAGATAATTAAATAAAAGTCATTAGAAGGTGCAAGTCCGTGGTAATCCGACCATGTTTAGGTGGTTACAAAAAAGCGATCACCCAGTACATTGCGCTGTCTTTTAAAATGTTTAGTGTAATACACCTTACGATTTCGGTACAGTTGCGTACAGTGTTAAATACATTCAATATTTATTCATTATTATTACCTATTATTTATTTTGTTTTTTTCCCTAATTGATCTTAAGCACTTGTTTCTTTACTTAAAATTTATTTAGTCTTTTTACTACCGGAGCTACAATCAACAGAAAATCTGGACTGGTCCGCTAAAATTATAAATATGTAGATACATGTATGAACGATTCACCTGACTGCAATAAAACGAAAATTTAAACCAATAAGAAATCGTTTCATTTCTTTGATTTTTTTTTGTAAAGAAATAACACTAAAGTAATTGTATTTTATTTTGCGGTGTATAGAGCTTAGACTTGAATGCATCAAAATATTTAAAGCAACAAGTCATCTACAATAAGTTAAAATAGACCGAATAGTAGAAGAATACAGTTGTAAATTAGAATGCATCAACATTGAATCGCCCAACAGTCGTATACCTCGTAAGAGTAGGTAATATTGTTCTGTGGTCTATACCTAGAACCGAGAATTATCTATACCTATGTACCTACCGTTAAGCGTTGAGCCCGTGACTGTTGATTTCTGTTAAAAACGAACAGTTGTTGAATGATATTTTGATATAATGACGGTAATTTAATTTATCGAGTGAAAGTGATACATTTTTATAGATAAAATTATTGGTCAGATAATATTTGTCAATCAAGAATCGCTAGAACGCGGGAGGGGAGGGGCGAAGGGATACTTCATTGTTTGCAATTTGCATCTAGTGCACTAAACTTGACCCTTAGGCAGATAATATACGTGTTGTAAAGTACGTGTGCGCTTCCGCTTCCTATTTTTGCAAATATTTATCGTATTCTTGAGAGTTCTTCAATATGTGTGTACCTAATTACTAATAATAGGCATTAATGCTAATTCGATTCAATTTAAGTAATTGTCAATTCTTGTCTTAAGATATTAATTACTAATGCTAATATTGAAATTTCGTTCAGGGTGAACAAATTAAAAACGATCATAACTTTTAGGTAGGTATATCACTTATTACTAATTTTACATAAATAATTTATTTTATTATAATTTAACTCACCGTAATTTTGTGATCAAATATTTTATTTTCTCCAACATTATTACAGAAATAATGCAATACAGAATTTGTTCGCGATATGCTAGCCTAAGTCGATTCATCACTTAAAAAAATCCCCATCTATTCACAAAATACCTATTTACAACGCATACGTTACACTCTTCAAAACTTAAATAACCTATACCTACCCTAAAATTAAACTTCAATTAACAAATACTACGCAGGTACCAATTCTATGAACAACTATAAACAATTCACCTAAACATAACGAGAAAACAAAAGCATTCAAAACAATACCTAATCTCCCGGCTGATTACTAATTATGCAATAAACAATCCTAAATAAAAATTATTTAAAAAACATGTAGTTTTTTGTAACACTTATGTACATATCCGTAGTAAACTTGCAAATAATATCCTACATATTTTAAAAGCCAGCTTAATGTACTGGGTGATCGCTTTTTTGTAACCACCTAAACATGGTCGGGTTACCACGGTCTTGCACCTTCTCACATCACATCACATCACATCAACAGCTTTTAACAGTCCACTGCTGGACATAAGCCTCTCCTTAGAAAGGAGGTTTTGGCCTACTATACCACGCTGGCCATACGGGTTGGTATAGGGTTTGTGTCAAGTTTTCCTTCTCTCTGCAGTGTTGTAGTTCTGCTTAGTTTTCTCCCTTAGTCGGCTCTTACGACACCCACGGGATGAATCGGGGTGGTGACACTCTGTATTCTTAATCCGTCACCACACGGAATACCTTAATTGCACCTTCTAATGACTTTTATTTAATTATCTCGTAAATTATTATATGTACTACGCTGAAATTTTACAGGTAGACAACTGAACTAAACAACTAATTATTGGCATAACATTCAGTTTATATATCCACACACAGGTTTATCGGTGGCCAAAAAAGGCCGCACACATTGTGATCGTGAACGTGGAGAGCTACATTTCATCATAACTTTTTAGTCACTTACAGTATTCTTACGAAAATTCGTATACATTTGAAGGTAGTTACAAGCAATAGAATAACGTTTCAAGTAAGTCTTTAGAGGTCTTATTTAAAGTGTTAGGACGTATTGAATTGTTTTCATACTTACCTAAATAATTTTTAAACGGTCCATTATTTTTATTATTTTATTGTCGA